TCACTAAAGCTGTTGCAATCTGTTGGCTGGGACACACTGTTATTGGTCTTTTGCTGCTCTCTGATCTCCCGGAGTGAAAAAAACAAAAAACAGTTCTGTCGGAGGTAGAGTGAGGTCATATTTAGTGACAGCAGAATTTTCCAGCTGCTGAGAGAAAGAAAAAAAAGACAGCCGTCACTCTTAAGAGAGTCAGTCCAGGAACACTGAGAGGGATCAGACCAGGATTTTGACCTCTGACCCTTTGGTCTCAATGAAACCTCCAAAATCAACAAGAAGCGAATGTTTCACTTCATCTCATCAGCGTCAGGAAAGCCTATCATGAACTGCTGCAGAACTGTTCCACTCACTTAAAGGGATTGTACTCACGCTGTGGCCACTGGCCGAGTGCACCAGACTTATTTGTATTTGTCATCATGGCACAAACAATAAAAGACATCAAATTGTCTGCAAACCTTGCCGTTTTCAGTCACCTCCACTTTTTATGTTGGTGTATTGCATTTCCACCATACACAAGTGCAGCAGCTTTCTGATTTATGATTGGTCTCTGTAGGCAGTACAAAATAAGAAGAATTGTGAAAGCATTGAGAACAACTGCAGAAAACTGCTGCCAGCCAAGCAAAAGTGTCTTTATGCCCCTACCTCGGGCCCATTCATCTCAGCTAGGTGTGAACTCTACCCATTCAGCACCTCATTCGTTCAAAAAGGTGTCAATTTCACCTTAGTTGACCCCATTGACTGCCACAATATTAGGATAAATCAAGAAACAACATACAATCGGGAAGGCAGTGCAGTAATTCATCCCTGGTGGAACTCCAGCTTCATTGTTGGATGTGAAGGAGATTCCCAAACCTGAGCCATTCTTTTTAGGTGACAGATCTGAGGAACTGGCCCAGATTAAGGTATCATTAGAGGAGGTTTTGGAACAAATTGATAAATTAAACAGCAATAAGTTACCAGGACCAGATGGTATTCACCTAAGAGTTTTGAAGGAACTCAAATGTGAAATTGCAGAACCACTAACTAGTCTGTAACCTATCATTTAAATCAGCTTCTGTGCCAGATGACTGGAGGATAGCTAATGTGACACCAATTTTTAAAAAGGGCTCCAGAGATGATCCCAGCAATTACAGGCCAGTAAACCTGACTTCAGTACCGGGCAAACTGGTTGAAACTATAATAAAGAACAATATTGTCAGACATATAGATGAACATAATTTGTTGAGAAAGAGTCAACATGGTTTTAGTAAAGGGAAATCATGCCTCACCAATCTACTAGAATTATTTGAGGAGGTCAACAAGCATATGGACCAAGGGGATCCAGTGGATATAGTGTACTTAGATTTTCAGAAAGCCTTTGACAAGGTCCCTAAACAAAGGTTCTTACGCAAAGTAGCTGCCATGGGATAAGAGGGAAGGTGCTCTTATGGATTGGTAACTGGTTAAAAAATAGGAAACAAAGGGTAGGTATAAATTATCAGTTTTCAGAATGGAGAGAGGTATATAGTGATGTCCCCCAGGGGTCTGTTCTGGGACCAGTCCTATTCAACATATTGATAAATGATCTGGAAAAAGGGTAAACAGTGAGGTGGCAAAATTACTAAAGATAGTTAAGACCTAGGCAGACTGCGAAGACCTACAAAAGGATGTCTCAAAACTGGGTGACTGGGCAACAAAATGGCAGATGAAATTAAATGTTGATAAATGCAAAGTAATGCACATTGGAAAGCATAATCCCAACTATACATATAAAATGATCGGGGTCTAAATTAGCTGTTACCATTCAAGAAAGAGATCTTGGAGTCATTGTGGAGAGTTCTCTGAAAACATCCACTCAATGTGCAGCGGCAGTCAAAAAAGCGAACAGAATGCTGGGAATAATTAAGAAAGGGATAGGGTAATAGCACAGAAAGTATCATGTTGCCGTTATATAAATCCATGGTATGCTCACATATTGAATACTGTGTGCAGATGTGGTCGCCCCATCTCAAAAAAGATATATTGGAACTGGAAAAGGTTCAGAAAGGGGCAACAAAAATTATTAGGGGTATGGAATGGCATCCGTATGAGGAGAGATTAATAAGACTGGGACTTTTCAGCTTGGAAAAGAGACGGCTAAGAGGAGATATGATTGAAGTCTACAAAATCATGACTGGTGTAGAGAAAGTAGATAAGGAAGTGTTGTTTACTACTTCTCATAACACAAGAACTAGGGGTCACCAAATTAAATTAATAGGCAGCAGGTTTAAAACAAATAAAAGAAAGTATTTCTTCACACAACGCACAGTCAACCTGTGGAACTCCTTGCCAGAGGATGTTGTGAAGTCCAAGACCATAAGAGTGTTCAAAAAAGAACTAGATAAGTTCACGGAGGATAGGTCCATCAATGACTATAGCCAGGATTGGCAGGAATGGTGTCCCTAGCCTCTGTTTGCCAGAAGCTGGGAATGAGCAACAAAGGCAAAGAAAAAGCAGACGACTTTTATTATTTTGAAGCCATCTCATGATTTTTGGGAGCCTGTGTCATGATTTTTGAATGGCTCATGGGCAGGTTGGTGGGAAAGAACATGGCTTCCGTTCTCGCACAGTGCTGGGCCTGGCCTTCCAGTGAGGCCTGGCAGGGAGAACATTGTCCACACTAAGGTGGGCCCAGACCCTCAGAGAACTCTCGGTGGCAGCGTTTTAGGGGACACAGGAGATGTGGTGACAACTCAGGAAACACCACAGTGTTTTGGGGTGGCAGGGAGTGGTGTGGGGAGAATTTTTGGGGGATGCGCAGGCATCTAGGGGAAACACATTAGCATCTTGGGAGAACATGGAGTGGATGTCTTGGGGGGACGTCTGTGTCTCAGACGTTCATGCTGACATGACAGGGTCTCAGCGTGTTGTGTCAATATCTTGACGGGAGGTGTGCGATGTGACAGCTAAGAATAACATGTCTACATCCTGGGGAGACATGGAAGGACTCTCAAGGACACTACAATTAGGGTGACCAGATGTCCCCATTTTATAGGGGCAGTCCCGATATTTGGAGCTTTTTCTTATATAGGTGCCTACAGGAGCGCTGCCAGCTTTTCTGCCGCCCTAGACGGCGGAAGGTCCCGCCCCGAAATGCCGCCCCCCACAGAGGCGGCGGAAGGTCCTGCTGCCGAAATACCGCTGCGGTCGCCACCCCCCAAATTGTAGCACCCTAGGCGACCGCCTAGGTCACCTAATGGGTTGCGCCGGCCCTGGGTGCCTATTACCCCTCACCCCCTGTCCTGATTTTTCACCCTTGCTATCTGGTCACCCTAACTACAATACCCACGAAAGCTTATGCCCAAATAAATCTGTTAGTCTTTAAGGTGCCACCAGACTCCTTGTTGTTTTTGCAGATACAGACTAACACGGCTACCCCGATACAATGTCCCGTAATAATGTCTTGGGATGACGTGTAAATCCTGAGGAGACGTGTGTATTAGTCCCAGTGGGATATGGAGGGCTACACACTCATGGGATGCTGTGATATTTGGGGGTGACAAGGCTGTGTCTGTGCGGGACAGACTGTGACAAGACTGTGTTCTGGGGTGATGTGTCTGCATCCTGGGGATGGATATCCTGACATGATGGAAGCACGTGCTGTCAGGACAGGAACTCAGGGAGACGTGTTGTTGAGGGTTACGCGGGAGGTGCTGACATGACAAGATCTTGGGGCGACACATGTTGTTCTGATGGGGTCCCACTAGGGGAACACGCTATCACGACAGGGTCAAGGTTGTTATCATGACAGGGACTCGTGGGGACATGTGACAGGCTGTTGTGGTGGAGGCGCTGACATGACAGGGTCTCGGGGTAACACGTGTTGCTCTGATGGGGTCCCACTAGGGGAACACGCTGTCATGACAGGGCCTCGGGAGGGAGGGGGCGGCACGTGCCATCGTGACGGAGTCGGAGGGGAAGAGGCTGCTGCCAGGGCACGAGTCTGTTGCGCCGGGCTCGGAGGCATGTGCTGTCGTGGCAGGGTAGGGCGGCTGATAACACGTCTCCGGGGCTCGGCGGGCTGTGGTGGGGACAGGGTCTGCGGGGCTCGTGCTGTTGTGAGCGGGGCCGGGGCGGGCTGTGCGGGGAGCGCCGCGCCAGACGCCGCTTGTGTGAACGTGCGGACGAGCAGGGCGGCTCCTCTACTAAATGGGGGCGGGGACAGGCGCTCGGAGCTCAACATAAAATGGCGCCTTTTCAGCCACATTCCCCAGCGCCGGCCAACCCAACCCTCCCTCCCGGGGTTCAACCGAACCCTTTACAGCCGCCCGCACGCCGTTCCCATAGGTCGATTTCGGTCTGCTCGCCTTCCTCATTGGCTCTGATCCCTTTCCTGTTATCCCGCCCGATCGCTGATTGGCCGCTCTACATGTCAGACTCTAATCCCGCCTTCCCTCGTCTTTCACATTATTGATAGCTCATTGGTGTTGTCTGGCGTCAATTAAATTTTAGTCCCGCCTTCCCTACATAGCTAGCGTCTTAGAAGCCCGCCTAATGGACGATTGGTCAAATTGCACGTCAATCACGACTTCGTTCCATGCTCTCCAAGCCTCTCCCGTACGGGGTTTCCTGAGGAGGCTGCATGATCGCTGATTGGCCATCTGTCACGTCAGTTGTTCTTTAGCCTCATCCCTTCGTCCCTCCCTTCACCGAATAGGCCTTCTGGTTTCCTATTGGCCACAGCCTCCGTCAGTTTCTCCCGCTGCCCTCCCTCATTGGGCGGAGCCGCGAAGGGGGCGTATCCTAGGGCCGGGGCTTTTCGTGGACTGCTACCACTCCCTCTTAGGATCCGCCTGGTTTTCCATTAGCCATGCAATCTGTCATCCGCCATTAGTCCCGCCCACAGGGTGCCTCCTTGCCTCCTGATTGGGCGGGGCCGAGTCGGGAGGCGTGTCTCAGGGCCGGGGCCGTGTCGCACAGCTCCCCCAGTCCCTCCCTCGCCAGCCCTTTGGCGGTCACCGGCGGGGTTAGGCTGCCTCGTCAGCGAGTCGGACTCCCCCGCCCCTCCCCCCGCCCCGAGAGCGACTTGGGCTCGCCCCCCGCAGCGACCATGAGCGGTAAGGACGGCACCACCCCGGCCCCGGGGGACGCGAGTCCGGCCGACTCCGACCGGTCGGCCCCGCCCCAGCCAGCCCCCACCCCCGGGCCGAGGGGACCTGAGGGGGAGGGACTCGGGGGAGGGGGGAACCCTCGGGGGTGGGGCCCGGGGGGAGGGGGCTCGAGACGGGGGAGGATCCCGGGGGAGGGGGCCTGGGAGGGCCAGGATCCCCGGAGGGAGGGGAACTCTCGTGGGGGCGGTCCCGGGAGGGATTGGTACCTGAGCCCGGGGGGAGGGGAGAAACCTCGCGCGGGAGGTCACGAGGGGAGGGGGCTGGAGATGGGGGAGGATCCCAGGGGAGGGGGGACCTTTGTCCCCTCGTGGGGTGGGTCGCCGGGGGAGGGGGTAAACATCCGGGGGGGGGCATCCTTCGTGGGGGTGGATCTCGCAGGGACTGGGAGCCCTCGTGGGGGAGGATCGTGGGGGAGGGCATCCCTCGTGGGGGTGGATCCTGGGGGAGGGCATCCCTCGTGGGGGTGGATCTCGCAGGGAGCCCTCAAGGGGGAAGGACCTCAGGGGAAGCGGAGTCCCTAAGGGGTGAATCCCTGGGGGAGGAGGTAAGGATCCCCGGGGGAGGGGCTTTTGAGGGAGGACCTGGGCTGGGGGGGGGGGCGGTCATGGGGGGGGGGCCCAGGGGGGGGGGGGGGGGGGGGGGGGGGGGGTTGCCAGAGAGGAGAGAGCTCCAGGAGGGCAGGAGTGAATCTTGGTGGGGGTGGATCTTCTGAGGAACCTTGTTGGGGGAGGTCCCGGACAGAGGAGGAGTTTTTGTGTGGTGGCTCCCATAGGGAAAGGAACCAGGATCCTGGGGAAGAGCCCTCATGGGGAGGGAGCCTGGGCGGAGATGGCCAGGAATCCTGGTGGGAATAATCCTGGGGGAAGGCACCTGGAAGTGGGGAGGGAGGATCTCAGGGAAGGGAGTGGAACCTGCGTGAGGGTGAATCTCACATGGAGCCTTTGTGGAACAGACCCGGGGGAGAGGCAGGATTCTAGGGGTGAGGGGGGATCCTTTGTGTGATGGATCCTATGAAGAAAGGGGCTGGGATCCTGTTCCTGGGGGTATGGTGGGGAGGAGAGGGGAACTGGGGAACCCTCATGGGGTAGTCCTGGCAGGAGGTTAGCCCTTGTGGAGAATCTAGGGGGAGGGGAGAATCATTGTGGGATGGATTCTGGGAGGGGGCAGGAACTTGGGGGAGGAGAGAAGCCTAGTGGGGCAGGATCCTAGGGCAGTGGTTCTGAATCTTTCCAGACTACTGTACCCCTTTCAGGAGTCTGATTTGTCTTGCGTACCCACAAGTTCACCTCATTTAAAAACTACTTGCTTACAAAATCAGACATAAAAATACAGAAATGGCACAGCCCACTATTACTGAAAAATTGCTTATGTTTAATTTTTACCATATTTATAAAATAAATCAATTGGAATATAAATATTATACTTACATTTCAGTGTATAGTATATAGAGCAGTAGAAACAAGTCATTGACTGCATGAAATTTTAGTTTGTACTGACTTTGCTAGTGCTTTTTATGTAGCCTGTTGTAAAACTAGGCAAATATCTAGGTGAGTTGATATATGTACCCCCTGGAAGACCTCTGAGTACCCCCAGGGGTACATGTATCCCTGGTTGAGAATCACTGTCCTCAGGTGTAGGGGGAACCTTTGTAGGAGTGGAATCTGTGGGGAGGGAGGTTGGGAAGGTCTGTGGGAGGGGGAACACTCAGGGCAGGGGAGGGAGGGAGCAGGTGCAGTGGGGACCTGAGGAAGGGAGGGCATGGGGATAGAGGGGAGAGCCCAGGGGGTGGAGAAGGGAGCAGAAGGGACTTGCAAGAGTGGAATGGGGAGGAACCTGAGAGAGGCAAGGGAGTGTGTTCCTCCCACGTCCTCCTCATTGAGGTTCTGTGCTAACCCCACATTTGTCAGTTTCTTCCCCATTCTCTTTTCTCTCCAGCTTGCCAGTCCCCCTCCCCTCTTCTGCTTTCCCTTTCTAGCTCCTTCACCATCTCCCCCTTCACCATCCTCTCAAGCCTTCCCTTTACCTCTCCTGCCGCCCTTTACCTCTCTCTGTCCGGTTGAGTGCCTAGATACTAGGGGGGTGGTTAGTGCCCTTTAAGTACTTAGAAAGACCCTCCTTCCCCTTTCTAGTCCCACCTCCCTTCTTTCTGTTTTTACCCGCCTGGGTGTTCTCTGTTCCCTTAACTTTCCTGTTTTTAAACTGTTCTCATCACCCTTCTCAGTCCTTCCCTGTACTCTGCTTCTCGTAAACCTTTTACAATTTGATTGTAACCGTATTTATCATTTTCCTCCCCATGCAGACCAAGAGAGTCCAGAAGAAATGGCTGTTGTGAAGTCTGAGAAGGAAGAAGAAAGTGCTTGTAGTAGAAGCAGTAGTATTGGAGGCAATGGTGAGGGTCAGGTGAGTGGAGTCCCTATATGGTGTCGGTGGGGAGTGGGATCGAGATCTTGGGGGATCGCATGCATACTAGTGAATAGCTAAATGGGACAGCCTCTTACACCTTATTGCTGTTGAAAGGAGGCAGGTTGGTGGTACCCTGGCAGTCCTCATGCACACTGTGAGACTGCAAAAACCTATGACTTCTGTTTGGCGAGGCTCCCTGTGGTGGCACCTATAGTAAAGGGTAGGGACTAGCTTTGGGATAGAGAGAGGAGAGTTTTAAGACTGGGGATATCAGTCACTTCTTTGACCTTGCATAACATATAGCGTGCGTATAATTTCAAAACAAACACTTCACTGCACACATGTCTCCCCCTGGGGGGAGGAGGCGAGAACAGGCATGTGACATGTTAGTCATGTTGCTTAATGCCCACCTAGAAGGTGCTCAGATGCTATGCTGATGAGCACGGTACGAGAACCTATAGAGAATGGAATGTGGCTGTTCATATACAAAACCTCTGCCAAGGTTAAAATGTCTGCACCTCCTCCAAGAAATAGTGGTGGTAGCTCCTTCCTTAAACCTCTTTTCTTTCTAGGGGATGCGCGGTCTCAAGGCCCATAGGTGCCTAGTAGCAATAGTACTGCCTCTTAGGATCTCTCCTCTGGAGATGTGCCAAATACCACGGCAGAGGGAAACTTCCTGGTCTTGGGCTGAACTATGAAGGCAATTTCTAATGTCTCTCCTTGTGTTCCTTGAAATCCTTCCTCCTTTGATGTTCCTCCACTTGCTTGTGCCTGATAGCCCTGTTTGCCAGTTGTATTTTCCAGCTGTGTGTGTGTGTGTGTGTGTGTCACTACGGGGTGTTTCCCTGGTTTTTAGCTGAACGCTTCTCCTTGTTTTTGCTTATTTTGCACTGCCAACTGGGCTGGCTAATGGATACTTAACTCCTCCTCCTTGTGTGTCTTTAGGAATCCCAGCCTTCACCCCTGGCTCTGCTGGCAGCCACGTGCAGCAGGATTGAGTCTCCCAATGAGAACTCCAACAGCTCCCAGAGCCAGCAGGGGGGCTCAGGTGAGCTGGACCTCACAGCTGCTGCCGCTCAGCTTGCCCAGACTACAAATGGTTGGCAAATCATTTCCACTGTCCCTGGGACATCCACCTCCTCCAAGGAGCAAGGGAGCAATGGCAGCGAGTCGTCACCAAAAAACCGACCTGTGACAGCTGGGCAGTATGTGGTTGCTGCTGCCCCCAATTTGCAGAATCAGCAGGTGCTGACCAGTTTGCCTGGGGTTATACCTAATATTCAGTACCAGGTGATCCCACAGTTTCAAACTGTTGATGGGCAGCAGCTGCAGTTTGCCACCACCCCAGCCCAAGTCAATGTCCAGCAGGATGCCTCTGGCCAACTTCAGATCATCCCTGGGACAAATCAACAGATCATTACAAACAGAGGCGGGACAGGCAATATCATAGCCGCCATGCCAAATCTGCTGCAGCAGGCTGTCCCAATCCAGGGGGTTGGCTTGGCCAATAACGCCCTCTCGGGACAAACTCAATATGTGGCAAATGTCCCAGTGGCTTTAAATGGTAATATCACCTTGCTGCCTGTCAGCAGTGTTGCCGCCAGTTTGGCACCCACTTCTCAGACCGTCACTTTAAGTAGCTCTGGCTCTCAAGACAGCAGCTCTCAAATAGCGACTTCTGGTGCTGCAATCAGCTCTTCCAACATAGTGACGTCCCTGGCCAGCTCTGGTGCTTTTTTCACCAATGCCAACAGCTACTCTACCACGACCACCAGCAGTAACATGGGCGTCATGAATTTTTCCAGCAGCGGGACCATGGGAACAAACGTTCAGGTCCAGACACCCCAGAGGGTTAGCGGCATTCAGAATTCGGACTCTCTACAGAACCAGGTTTCTGGCGTGGCACTTCAGCAAGGTCAGCAGAAGGATGCCGATCAAAATCAACAGTCCCAGCAGCAGATCCTAGTACAGCCTCAGCTTGTCCAGGGAGGGCAAACCATTCAGGCCCTCCAAGCTGCTCCACTCTCTGGCCAGACCTTTACCACCCAAGCCATCTCCCAAGATGCTTTGCAGAACCTTCAGCTTCAAGCACTCCCCAACTCTGGGCCAATCATTATTCGAACACCTACTGTGGGGCCAAACGGGCAGGTCAGCTGGCAGACTATTCAACTGCAGAATCTTCAGGTGCAGAATCCCCAAGCTCAGACAATCACCTTGGCCCCAATGCAGGGAGTATCTCTGGGGCAGACGGGGCACACCAACACGCTCACACCAATAGCCTCTGCCTCGCTCCCCAGTGGCACTGTCACTGTAAACGCCGCTCAGCTGTCTTCTATGCCAGGCCTTCAGACCATTAACCTCAGTGCCTTGGGAGCGTCTGGAATCCAGGTACATCAGCTACAAGGGCTGCCGCTGGCTATAGCAAATGCCACTGGTAAGTTGGCCGTTTTGTTGAAATGGCTCTGAATTTTTCTTTTTGTTTCTGATCTCACTTCCTATAAGGCAGTGTGTCTCAACCGTTCTGTGCTTATGACCCTCTTTGGACTTAAAAAAAAAAAAAAAAAAATCGCGACCCCCCCCCCCCCCCCCCCGCTAGAAAAAAATTCCGAGCCCCCCATCTTAAGCTCGGGGCATGGGGCTGAACCATGTGAATTAGCTTTGCAAGGCCCTTTGGCAATTGCCCTGGTTCCTACCCCCTAATGCTGGCCCTGCTTGTGACCCCCCTCAAACCTGTCCTGTGACCCCCTGAGGGTCGTGACCCCCCGGGTTGAGAAACACTGCTATCAGGGGAGGAACCCAAAGACATGGAGTGTCCAGACAACACAGCCAGCTGGGGGAGAGGTGTCAAACACCCAGTCTGCACGCCAGATCTGACCATTTTTGTTTGTGGCCCATGTGACCGGTTCAGATTCAGCAGAATCTAAGCTTCCATTTTAAAAAGTTTCTACCCTTCATAGTTGTGAAGATGAAGTCCCGCAATAGGAACAAAGTATTACAGAGGCAATGTTGGCTCCCTGAATCTTCAGACAACCTGAAATGAACTCTGAAGAAGTGTGAACTAACTGCCCACCCTCCCTTAATCTGGAGTTCACACCAAAATCCAATTATGAAGGTTAACTCCTTCATTGCTGATCATTTTAACAAATGAAATGGAGGGAAGTGATTGTGGCAGGCATGTCTTGTGTTTCAGCTTTGGGGTTTCAGCCAGTCACCCGCAGGGGTTAGGATAGAAAGGGATTCCCTCTGCTCCTCTCCCCAAATGCATTTCTGGGAGGTGTTATTTTAATCTCCTCCTTCTGAAGCTACAGGTATGGCCATGGCAGGGTGGGTCAGGGCTGGGTGGCACCAAGCATCCTGTCTCTCTCAGCTGTTTGGCTGGCTGGGTCTTGCTCACATGCTCAGTGTCTAACTGATTACTACATGTGGGGTCGGGAAGGAGTTTTCCACAGGTCAAACTGGCAGCGACCTTGGAGGTTTTTCACCTTCCTCTGCAGCCTGTGAGTCACTTGCTGGGATTATCTGGGTATACCTCATTTAATCCTTTCCCTGACAGGGCAGGAGCTGCAAGCACATGGTTGTCTAATCCGTTGGTCTCATATATTTTGGTCTCACTTCCGTTGTTGAGTTTAGTGTGTGGGTGGTGTTGGTGGCCTGTGATATTCAGGAGGTCAGGCTAGATGATCTGTGATCCCTTCTGGCCTTAAACTCTGTGAAGTGTGGGAGTGAAGCCCAGGGAAGGAGGGAATTGGGAGAGATCTCAGCTAGATAGGGAAGAGGGAGATAGATAGAGAGGAGGATGAGGAAAGAAGAGAACCAAAAGGCAGAAATAACCATGATTCTAAAAGGGAAGATGTTCTCCCACTAAGTAATGCTGAGTGCAACAATGAAGCCCTAAACAAATTATGGACAAGTAAAATTCAGTTGCTAAATAAAGCCTATATTCTACTCCTGATCTTTGCCCAAACCCCGTATTGACATGAGTAAGAGATCCATTGTATGTTGGAGGCAGTATATGGTCATTATGGAGGCCTAAGCAAATACGGAGCATAATTAAAAGTGGAATTCAGTATGAGTTTGACGCCCTTGACCCAGGGGATAAGCCAGACAGGGTTGCAAACTACAAGGCAAAAGAGTCAAATTAGGGGAACATTATAATATTTCTTCCTCATCTTAAATTACGAATTTCCATACAGTGGCTTGAAGTGTGTGGTCAGAAGAAAGTGGGGGTGGGTATAAGATGCTATGATCTCATTACTTGGAGATGTTCAAACGTTGAGACTGGCACAAAGAACCCTGATTGTTTCCATTGAATCACTACTGTCTTCTCACAAATGGTCCCTCTCAACAATTGATAGTTGGTGTAGCCTTATGGTGTCATAGTGCAATGTGCATTTATGGTCTTGCTAGTCTTGACGCTCGGAAATTTTGTTCCTACTTTTGAGACTGAGCATTTCTTAAGTTCACTCAGTGAAAGAAATTAATGCTGAAAAGTAATTTTTTTTAAACTCTCGTCTCTGCTTGGTAATAGCTTCTTAGGATGGTGCATGTCACATCATTTTGTATCTTACTTAAAAATGCAGCCACTCAAGTGAGTCACATAATTTAGAAGCAATTTAAATGTTGCGCAATTCAACTTCAGTTTCCTTCATGAAAGAGAATAAAGCCACTTCCTTGGAATTGTTTTGCAGTGTTTTGTGACCTCTTGAACTGCTGTTAAATTGATTTGGGTTTTGTATGTCTACGAGCTGTTTTCATATCTGATTAACCGTAATTGTTGGTTTTCCACTGTATAAAGTCAACGAAATAACATGAATGTGTATCTTTCTCATAAGCAGTTTGTGTGCGTGGTATAGGGCCTGTTTTTGTCATTTCATTTGTCTGATTTCTGTGTTCAGTGGATTCACTAGTATTGTCTAGTACTCGGACATCGTGATCCTCCCAAGTACATCCTGTGCTGCCTGCTCTGAGCCTATTCAGCTTGCTCAGTTTTAAGCACGCTATATGGTACAGAACATGCTTTGAAGCATATAGGCAACTCCTAGTTCCTGTATTTGTGAGCTGGCTTTGCCCTTGATGGGTGGATCAGGGAGGAACTGTCTTGGAGATGACCCATCAGATCGGGGTGGGAAAACTTTTTGGCCCAAGGGAATAGAAATTGTATGGAGGGCCATGAATGCTCACAAAATTGGGGTTGGTGGGCAGAAGGGGATGAGGGCTCTGATTGGGGGGGGCAGAGTCTGGGGGGGCCAGAAATGAGTTCAGGGTGTGGGAGGGGGCTCCGGGCTGGGGTGCGGGAGTGGGGGGGTGAGGGTTCTGGGGTGGGGCTGGGGATAAGGAGTTTGAGGTGTAGGAGGGTGCTCTGCGCTGGGACCAGGGGGTTCGGAGGGCGGGAGGGGGATCAAGGCTGGGACAGGGGGTTGAGGCATGGGGAGAGGCTCAGGGGCGCAGGCTCTGGGTGGCGCTTACCTCAGGTGGCTCCCGGAAGCAGTGGCATGTCCTCTGGCTCCTATACAGAAGCGCAGCCAGGCGGCTCTGCGCGCTGCCCCTGCAACTCCCATTGGAATGCTGGAGGGCGGTCATTGGAGCGCGTAAGAGGGCCATGCTGCTGCTTCTGGGAGCCTTGTAGAGCGGACCCAGAGCCCGCTCCCCAGCGGGAGCTCGAGAGCTGGCTTAAAACAGCTGACGGGCCGTAGTTTGCCCACCCCTGCCTTAGATGGCTTATTGCTGAGCAGCCATGTTCCCTTTTTCTTTTTTTTAACCCTGACAGCCAGAAAGAGGGCTGCTTTTAGTGGAAAACCCCTCATTTGTGATGACACGTTTGCTGCCTTACATTTTAATTGTCTGACCTAATGAATTCTGCAGCAGAGATGGCCAGAGGCCTTTGTCCTCAGCTTGGAGGATATGATGTTCAGGTGACATTTTGATTTGGTTTAGTTCGGTGTGTTTGATAGATATTGTGGTGCAGGCTTCAAGGGACATATGGGAACCTAGTTTGGCCAAGCTCTCATGTGGTGAGATATAAATAGGCGGAGCTGAAAGTGATGCCTATTGTTAAAGTTGCCTGACGTTTTCTATTCTGAGCCCCTGTTGCTTATCACTCTGCCAAACTTTAACAATTTGTGCTGGGACTTTCCATGTTTGCACTCTGCGTAAGAACTGATTTTTTTTTTTAACGTTTTGGCACAAACTGTTAATGCGCTTCAGACAGTGCGGTGAAGGGAAAAGTGAAATTGAAATTTTGTCAGGAGATAGCCGTATATAATCAGTAGTGTGCTGGCCCCTATTGTCCGCATCAAAACCTAACCGGATCTTGCCAAATTATGCGACTCTGAACATCATAATTTGTACATGCTCAGGAGAGATTGCTCGAGGTTTGCTGCTAAAATCGCTGAGCATTTCACCCGCACTAAGAATACTCACTGACCCATCCTGTATGCTGTGCCTGCTCCTGGACCCCACAGAGATCAGATGGGGAGGAGCAAAAGCTGCCCCCCTGTCCTCAGGGAAGCAGTGGGAGCTGGGAGAGCAGAGCTGTCAGCTTGGTTCTTCCACTAACACGGAGTACTTCCTGGCTTTTGGCTGTATTATTGAGTAAGAATATTGTTTTTCTCCTTTAACAGAAGTAACTGAGCTGTTGCACAAGCTCACTTATAGAGAGCTGAGGGATAGAACCCTGGTCTCTAATATTAGAGATTCGAATCTTCTCCGCAGCCATTCTGAATGAGTTTGCTAAATGCGTGTGTGTATATTGGTGCTGTCTGTAACCACCAGATCTCATTCCCTCCAGAGCCAGGAAATAAAACTGTGGAATCCCGACTTCCAGTGTTTCAAATAGTTGTGTAAGCCATTGGCGAGGTGTGTGTTGTATGTACCTTTAATGGCTAGTCCATGCAGAAAAGATAAGTCTACTACTGCTATTAGTTATACTTCTGTAGCTCAAGTGATAATGGTTTGTACTGTGGATCTAATGGTCCTGGTTTCCAACCCTGCTGATCATCTATGCAGGGAATCAGTATGGCGCCACGTGATACAATTTTTGTCTTTCAGTTTTCTCTTAAAATCCAAGGGAATTAAAAAAATTAAAAGAACCAAGGTTCAAAGTCAAGTGCTAAGGAGTTGGCAGGTACCAGAAATAAGGGTGCCTGTGCAATATTAATTCTGCTCTTGTATGCTATGCGATTTCATGTAGTACTTGTTCTATAGGACTTCTGCTTCTTCATTGTTGTGGATGAATAGTAAATGGGGCAGAGGGTTATAAGAAGAGAAAGGATGTTCTCTTGTGGCAAAAGCACTGGATTGGGACCCAGGAGAGCTGGATTCTTAATTGGCTCTGTTATAGACACTCCCTGTGTGATCTTGGGCAAGACTTTTGTGTATGCCAGAGTGGGTATAATTAAATTTGCACAGACTACCTTAATTCTAGAATTCCCTAAC